AGAGTGGAACGGTGTTGGTGGAAGAGTGTGGTGGATTAGTGGAACGGTGATGGTAGAACAGTGAGGTGGAAGAGTGGAACAGTGTTGGTGGAAGAGTGTGGTGGATTAGTGGAACAGTGTTGGTGGAACAGTGGAACAGTGGTGGTGGAACAGGGTATGTGGAACAGTGATGGTGGAATAGTGAGGTGAAACAGTGGAACAGTTTTGGTGGAACACTGTGGTAGAACAGTGGAACAGTGTTTGTGGAACAGTGATGTGGAACAGTGGAACAGGGAAAGTGGAACAGTGGTGGTGTGGTGGAACAATGGAACAGTTTTGGTGGAGTAGTGGAATAGTGATAGTGGAACAATGAGGTGGAACAGTAAAACAGTGTTTGTGGAACAGTGTGGTGGAACAGTGGAACAGTGTTGGTGCAACAGTGTGGTGGAACAGTGTAGGTGGAACAGTGATGGTGGAACAGTGAGGTGAAACAGTGGAACAGTGTTTGTGGAACAGTGTTGGGTACAGTGGAACAGTGAAAGTGGTTTGGTGGAACAATGGAACAGTGTTGGTAGAATAGTGTAACAGTGATGGTGGAACAATGGGACAGTGTTGGTGGAACAGTGAGAGTGGAACAGTGAAACAATGATGGTGGAACAGTGTGGTTGTACATTGGAACAGTGTTGGTGGATTAGTGGAACAGTGATGGTGGAACAGTGTGGTGGAACAGTGGAATAGTGTTAGCGGAACAGCGATGGTGGATTAGTTATGGTGGAACAGTGGAACAGTATTGGTGGAACAGTGGAACAGTGATTGTGGAAGAGTGTGGTGATAGAATGGAACAGTGATGGTTGAACATTGATGGTGGAACATTGATGGTGGAACAGTGATGGTGAATGAGTGATTGGCCTTTGGAAAAGGCCAATTTTGCTGTTGGGTTAAATCCACGTTTCTATTATCTAGAATTATCTAGAAAGTCTTGAAAGGCTTCTTTTCTTTCTAGATCGTCAGCAAACACTTTTTCTCGATCTCCTTTTGATAAACACAAAAGATGAAAAAAGTTCAACTTTTTGACTAAAACCGATGGAAAAAATGAAAAAATGCCAATTTTGCGGCTTTTTTAAACCGATGTTTTCATAGTCCAGAAAGGCTTGTTTTGTATATAAAACGTCAAAAATCGTTCTTTTAAGATCTATTACCACCCTCTTTTAAATGGGGTTACAGGGGATAACATGGGGTTACAGGGGGTTACAAGGGGTTTCAGGGGGTTACAAGAGATTACAATTTTAACAGGGGATTACAACCGGTTACAGAAAGACTTTTTTGGAACTAGAACGTTCCAAGATACTTTTTCTTGATCTATTTTGCACAAAAATAAAAGTTGATGAAATCTGAAAGTTTTGACGAAAACAATGGACTAACCGCTTTGGAAAAATGCCAATTTTGCTGTTTTTTAGACCTATGTTTTCATAGTCTAGAATGGCTTTTTTTCTATATAAAACGCCAAAACCGTTCTTTCACGATCTATTATCACGATCTATTACATAGTGAAACAGGTGGTTACAGAGGGTTACAGGGGATTATATAAAGATGTTCTAATATTCTTGAAAAGCTTCTAGAACACCAGCAAACACTTTTTCTCGATTTATTTTCGATTAACACAAGTGATGAAAAAAATTCACTTTTTTGACCAAAATCATAGACTAACCCCTTTGGAAAAATGCGTATTTGGCTGTTTTCTTAAATCCATGTTTCCATTGTGTAGAAAGGCTTGTTTTTAACGAAATGTAACCAAATAATTTTTCTCGGAGTACTTTGTATAAAACTAAAAATTGGCAAAATCTCAAATCTTTGACCAAACCCATGGACTTCCCCTTTGGAAAAATGCCAATTTTGCAGTTTTTTGTAACCCCCTGTATCCTGTTGTAACCTCTGTAATCTCTTCTAAGCCCCCTGAACCCCTTGTAACCCCAGCACCCCGTGTAACGGATTCGGTAACCCTCTAAACCCCTTCAAGCCCATGTGATCACATTTACCTACGGACAAAACAACTACATGCAGCTTGCAATTCAGCATCCAGGCACTTTATTTCGAGAAAACTAAAGAAAACCAGCTCGCGATCGCTATTAAAAAGTCATTTAGCCGCAATGCAAAGCTATGCTTAAAAAGAACTCAACGAACCAAACCAAACTACTTGAAGACGTCAAAGACTCAAATAGAAGAGCAAAAAACCTCAGAAAATCAATCATCAGGAATTAAAATTGAAAACACACCGGCTTTATATTTAGCGACAAACAACGTTTCCTAAGTTCAATCAAAACAAAGAATACTCCCGTATTATAATCCATTATCTTTGGCTAGAAAGAAAACAAACAGAGCAAGCGGATTTTTAATAAGGGAGCCGTAAAAAGTCCTGACAACAAAGCCAAACAAAGAGTATTTTCACTGAAGTGTTTCTTAATCCGGTTTTTGGCTACCTTTTCTCCGTTGCCACGCAGATCTTCCTAGTTTCCCTTCCGGTTTTTCGTTTCCAGTGGAACTAATTTTTTCACTCGATGTTGTCTTTGTAGTTTTTTCCGTTGGCGGTGCAGTCGTAGTTGAAGAAGGAACTACATAAAAACAAAGTATAAAAATTCCCTTAGGGGTTTGTTAAATACATCATCACCATCATCATCATCATCATAATAAATAATAATAATAATAATAATAATAATAATAATGCTAATAATAATACGGTAAGTTGAGCCTGCCAGATATTTTTGGCAGCGCACAGTTGTCAGCCATCGTTGGTGCAGCCCATATCTTGCAGAAAGTATTATGTCTCTAAGCTGCGTGCGGGATTGCCCCTGAACTGGAGAGGATCATGCCATAATAATAATAATAATAATAATTTTATTTAACCTTAGCAGTATTTATAGCACTAATGCTAGTGGGGCCGAGCAAATGCCTGAGACAAAATAATTCAAATCACGATGGCTATTACAAGCGTGGGCGAGGATTTGAAGCTGGGACTAAACTAACAATTCCGTCCCATGGCGGGGCTTGAACTCGGGGCCTCCGAATTACAAGTCCAGCGCTCTAGCCGCTCGGCCACGCTGTCTCCTCTAATCGACTCCTCGACTCTGAGAGTCGACCCAGAACTGACGTTATTGACCTAGCTGCAATAAGTGGATTCATCGTGACGTCACTGTTTACATTTTTTCTCATTAGCATATCAGTTAACCCATTGACGATGTAACCGTATATGCCAATTTGGCTCAAAAATTAAAAGAGCCGGAGATTCAGCTCTTTGCAATCAGTAACAATTAAAAACCTCAAATTTACTGAGTGGCGAAACGTTAATGAGCTCATACATTCTTTGAAAATTTTGAGGGTTCTTCGAAGAGAATTTCTCCTAACTATTTGGTATTTCGGGCTCAAATTTTCAAAGATAACTGAAATTGTTATGCTCTTTCAATATTCAGAATTTTAATTTTATAAGCTTCATCAGATAATGATACGCCTATGCTGATGAGGCAAAAAATGTAAACGAGGATTCGCCTATATATCGTTCCAATCTGTGTTTTGAATAGTGCCAAATAACAATCTGGAATCAAACTGATTCCGAGTCTACAGACTTTGCAGCTAGCCATTGACGTAAAAAAGCGCCATGCTCGAGAGAAAAAGCCGAATTGGGACAACACAAACAAAGGAAATTACCATTGAAAATTATGTATGCCTTTTATTTGTCTTGTCGCAGTGCCACTTTTGCTCTGCAGTAAGGCGAATTTTTACCACGTGAATAGCTCGCTACAAAGGACCTTTCTTAAGTAAATCTTAGAGAAATAACCATAGAAACGTATTACACGAAAATGTTTTAAGTGTTTGTTTTTTTCTCGGAACCTTACCCGCCCGAAAACACCCTTTCAGCAGATCATTTGATAAGTTTACCGGTCTTTCCGACACAAAGTCAATTCGATACAAGTTTACTTAGTGGTGTCGTTGAAGATTCACCCAAAATGTTATTTTTTGTTTTGTTCACACGCAAACTATATTCGAGGTGAAATAAATTTTTGCGCAATTTCACAGCTTGAAGTGTTCGTCTGGAAACGGCTTTGTATCGAAACAACCTATTTCCTGTCTTTCGCTTGCCCGATTTTTGCGTACTCGGGAGAGACTCTACAAGAATCGAGTAAGATCTTTGTTGACACAGTTCCGATGCCAGGCCTAATAGCCATGACCTTGGTACAGTAGGCTCAGTTATGGCTATCGGTTTACCAACAAACGGATGCTCGCACCCGAGACAAGACAGTACAGAACTTTAGATTCTAAGACGAGTACGACTACGAGTACGAGATGTTCTCAATTCTAAGTGGTGAACGTGCGTGAGCCAGCGTCTTTGGCGGGAAAACGTGGTAGATCTCGCCATTCTACTACGAGTTTTCGCGCGAATGTCGTGGTGACGAAAACAAGATATCAAATGTCAAAAGTTTTATCATTTTGGGATCGGGAGAGCGCGTAACCTTCGTCACTAAACATAAATATGCTAACTTTTCTGGTGAAAAATGGTAAAATGAAGCTTTCCGGGAAGTTTATATTTTGAGAAGACGCGAAAAAACTTCAAGTCAAATCTAGTAAGCGTAGTCGTCCTCGAATCTACAGGTCTCTAGTTAAAAGAAGAGAGAACAGGGTGCCCAATAGTGTTCTCCAATCCCGTAATCTCGACCCAAAATTTCGTGCAATCCCGTAATCCCGAGGGTTATTTCGAGCATTCTAACTTGCGCGCATACTTTCAATCCCGAATCTTGCCCGAGTTTGCTTTAAAATCCTGAATCCCGAGCTTCAAATACGGGAAATCCCGGATCCCGATAAACCTATTGGGGACCCTCAAGATTGACTAGTTCAGAAGTTTAGGCTGCTGTGACTTCAAAGTTTTGACGTGATTCAGGCAGAGTCTCTCTTCTTGTCTTTACACAGGAAGGCAAAAGAATACTCTGCTAGCAGGCTGACTCGAAAATATTTTCATGGAAATTTTCTCCTTACTAACCTGGACATCCATATATCTCCAGTCTCATTGATATCTGATTGTGCCACTCCACTGGTAAGATACGGATTAGACATGCTGTGATTGGTGGGACTAACACGTTATGCACCACGGTGTCACTGTCGTGATTTGCGTAAAATACCTTTAGAACAAAGATGAAAGAGAACAGTTGCTTTATTCCTGTTTAGCAGACATTTTAAGGGATTCAGGGTAAGTTTCAAAAGGGCCGTCGAAAAAGGTTGAAGATAATATAAGTATAAACAAGTATAAACCTCCCTTCGACTTCTTTAATGAAGAAATACAAAATAATTGCGTTTCGAGTAGGAGGAAAAGCAAACTAATGATTTACCTGCACCCGAACCACATAGAACGACATCGCTCAAGATGCCATTTAAACCCTTTAAACCCTAAGATCAAAATTTGAATTCTCGTTTGTTGTCCCTATTCATTTCCTACAGAAGTAGTGGGGAGGAGTTGATAAAATATCAAGCAAATTCTTCTTGTGTGATCATGTCCGTAATTCTCATGATCACTGTGTTTTACAAAGCATTGATATTACAAGAAGAAATTTGATGCTGATCAATCTTAGGGCGTAAAGGGTTAAATTACTTGAAGATTTTTCAACATATGACTCTTTCGCCCCAGCGTCACTCCCGGACGGAGTATTCTCCGCGGTTGCAATGCTTTTTCACGATTTCAGAGCAAGTAGAAGAAACGCACCATGTAATCAAACAAACATACTTTTGGTGAACTGTTGACTGACTTGTTGACAAAAGTAAAGGTTATTCCAAGGACTTCACTGTACTGCAGTCGGTACTTGACCACCCACGCATCACCTGCATTCTTTCCTTGCGTCGCTACCCTAGTGACTGTGGTGGAACCACCAAGATCCACCTTAATCCATTGGCCTAAGTCATTGTTAAGAGCAGACCACCCTCCTTGCTTGGGACCAGCTTTTTTTAAGCGTAATCTGGCAAGTGCTGCTCCATTGTTGTCATTCAGCTGTGAAGACGCGGTAATATGAGCATCTGGGATTTCACCATTTCCTACGCCAAGGGCACTGACGCATCCTAGGATGATTTAAAAATGCCAAGAACTGAGGACTTCCAAAACGTATATATCTGAATATAATTTGTAGAGCAATTTCAATGAACTTGGTCGGATTTTCAAAGTTTCATTGTGCGTCACTTTAAAGGATTTTCAAGTGACAACAGCGAAAAAAATAGCGACCACAGTGACAACAGTGAAAATGGCGACAACAGCGACAACAGAGACAACAGCAACAATAGTGACCACAGCGACAACAGTGACAACAGCGGCAACAGCAACAACAGTGACAACCGGGACAACAGTGACAACAGCGAAAACAATGACAACAGTGACAACAGCAAACAACAGCAACAACAGTAAAAACAGAGACAACAAAGACAACAGTGACAACTGCGACTTCAGTTACACCAGTGACAACATTGACAACAGTGACAAGAGACAACAGTTACAACAGCGACAGCAGAGACAACAGCGACAACAGTGACAACAGAGACAACACTGAACAACAGGGACAACAGTGAGAACAGCGACAACAGCAGCAACAGAGACAACAGTGGCAACAGCAACAGCAGTGACAACTTTAAAAACAGGGACAACAGTGACAACAGAGACAACAGCGACAACAATGACAACAGTGACAACAGAGACAATCGTGACAACAGGCGAGAATAGCGACAAAGTGACAACCGTTAAAAAACGATAATAGTGGCAACAGTGACAGTAGGGACAACAGAGACAACAGCGACAACCGTCACAACAACGACAACAAAGACAAGTGACAACAGCGACAACAGCGAGAACAGTGGCGACCACAGTGACAACAGTGAAAATGGCGACAACAACGACAACATTGACAACAGAGACAACAGCAACAATAGTGACGACAGCGACGACAGTTGCAACAGCGGCAACAGCAACAACAGCGACAACAGTAACAACAGCGAAAACAGTGACCATAGAGACAACAGTGACAACAGCGACGATAGCAACAACAGCGAAAACAGAGACAACAAAGACACAGTGACAACCGCGACTACAGTGAAAACAGTAACAACAGTGACAACAGCAACAGCAGAGACAACAGTGACAACAGAGACAACACTGAACTACAGGGACAACAGTGAGAAGAGCGACAAAAGCAGCAACAGAGACAACAGTGGCAACAGCAACAGCAGTGACAACTTTAAAAACAGGCACAACAGTGACAACAGAGACAACAGCGACAACAATGACAACAGAGACAACAGTGACAACAGTGAGAACGGCGACAACAGTGAGAACAGTGACAACGTTGACAACAGCGACAACGGCGACAATAGTAACAACAGTGACAACTGTGACAACAGCTAAAAAAAACAACTAATCGATGAATTCACGCCAGAAATGTTAGGAATACATCAAAGATAAGTCTCCTTTATTTATTTTATAGAAAAATAAGTCAGAATAATGACATTTAGCGTTCGCAGACCTCAGTATTTTATTTCTCATACAAGGTCTCAACGGTTGCTTGTAGCACGACACCGATTATCTTGTGAGAAAGTTTATTTACATGACACAATCGTAACGTGAGCTTGGGATGCGTGTGGTCTCTTTGGATATTTATCGAAAAAAGGGTTTACAGAAAAGTTCAGCACCCAAAAGACTAGCATGGAAAGCAAAATGGCCGCGGTTTGATTGTTTTGGAATACAAACATGACCATCCTGACGAGAGGAGAAAACGTTTTAATATGAGATATGTGGAAATGACCCATTTATAACAACCGCTCCTCCTTAACTTACTCAAATTACCTGGACAACCATACAGCTCTATCCTCATAGATATACGACTGTTCCAAGCCATAGGCAATACACGAACAAACGTTTTAGTGACTGGTGGACTCAGTGCATTATACACAACAGTATCACTGTCGTCGTTTCCAGTGAAAACATGTAATAAGCAATTAAACAGTGTAACCATAAACCTTAACCCTAAGAACAAATAAGCGTCCAACAAGTCTCTCACTTCAATGCTTGGTTAAATATGTTTGACCTAGTCCTGAAAAATTGTTCACAATTTAGTCATTCTTTGCCAGCTATGCTGCCATAGAAAACAGGTTATGACTTCACACAGGGTCTAATCAAAACATATTGGACGATTGAAGTAGCCTAGCTTGTTGCAAATGAGAACTGATTTAAAAACATCTGGTTGCCTTTCAAGTATTTTACATATACGTGTGTGAAGATACCTTAGCTGACTTGTCTCCATGTTCTTTGTAAAACTGGAAGTTCATTCCATCATCACTGTACTGTAACTTGTATTTGGTCACCCACTCATTGGACCCAGTCCTCCCCTGAGTCGCTACACGTGTTACTGTGTTGTAACTTCCAAGGTCCACCTGTAACCACTGGGGGAGATCGGTTTTAAGGGCACTCCACCCACCCCCTCCAGGTAAGTTTGGATCTTCTTTGAGGTGTAGCCTGGCCTTGCTTGGAGAGCTATTGTCATCAGACATCGAAGATGCACTGATCTGGGCATCTTTTATTTCTCTATTTTCCATACCAAGTGGAGCTATACAACCTGTATGGTGCGATAGTACAGTTTATAATAGAACTTCACCTTTTGGGCCGGTATATTTGAAGGGAATCGGATATAGCCCAAAGAATTGAAAGTCACAGCTCAAGGAAAACTCTCCGTAAGTGCGTCACGTAAAACACTTTTAATGAATGTGACCACGTGAAACTAAAACACATCAAGTCGTATTTTGAACTATCATACCAAAGAATCCATACGACTTTCTTTATTCTGTCTCGAAGTGGAAAATTTAATGAAAAATGCATTAAAAAGTTCAATTTGTGATCCAATCATTTATCCATTAGGACATAAACAATCATAGAGGAACTATTAGCTGAGGTTACACGAGACAACTTACCCATAATAATAGGGAGCTTAAGCGACGACGACGGCGAGGGCAGCCAGAACAGCGAAAAAGCAATAGGTTTAATATAAGCAAAACAGCAACTGTGCACATGCATCACGCTTTTTTGTACATTTCTTTGCCGTCGGCACAACTACGAAGTGGAACTGCCTAATTTGATATTTTTGTGGAGGACGTTAAGGCAAGATGACGAATTGTTTTTCTTTCTCTGAACTTGGATACAGCTGTTTTAGAATTTAACCCAGAAAACTTGCCAACATTTGATAACTTGAACGTGATGGAATAAGCGCGGTAAAGTTTGAAACAGTTTGTGCGAAATCACTTTATATTAGTGACGTTTTCCCAACCGTCGCCGTCGTTGTTACTCCCATGGCAAATGTAAGGCTAACTTGGCGTGAAAATTTGACTGAAGTAAATTTAACCCTAGATAGATTACAAAGGATTATTTCTTTTCCGCGGGTAAACCAGCAAATAAGCGCTCCATAGGGTTATTTTCAACGTTAACATGCCAATTCAAGTTAATCATTACACCTCACTCCGCATTGTAGCTTACATACAACTCCGAGAAAATTATTTGTAAGTGAAGCACACCTGGGCAGCCGTAGATCTCTACTCTCATTGATATGTGATGATGCCACTCTATTGGTATAAAGCGAATGTAGCGTGCTCTGATTGGCTGGCTTAATCTGTTTGTAGAAACGCTGTTACTGTCTTTATTGCCTTCAAACACCTACAGGGAAAAACAAGCCTACTAGTTTTCACTTTCTCATTTCAAGTAAATCCCGGCTAATCATGACAACTGCATGACCAACGGTCACTCCAACTGTTTTCGGCGACGAGTTGGAATTAGACACCACGGCTATTTTTTCGTAAGAACATCGAGATCGAGCGCCCTGCGTTACGGGCGGCCATCTTGGTTTCAAATGTTTCGAGTTGAGCCTGGAGATGAGTGTCAAATCTACTTAGTGGGGGGGGGGCGGACGGTTTGGGAGGAGTCCTCCCTCCCCCCATCACTACAAACCCTGACCCTACCTCCCCCTCGATAAATATGAAACCAAGATGGCCGATCTTACGAAAAATAGAGTACTGCGAACAGCCTAAGTTAGAATTAACAGTAAACCAATCGGCCTCCCTCAAGCTCTGATGGATAATATCATATTTCCTACCGCTTTACGGCTTTCGAGATTACTTATTCCAGCTCTGCAGAAAAATATCACGTTAAATGCATTCCAAGCATTTTAACGTATATTAGATGTAACGAAGCAAAAAATATTACACTCCCATATCTAGAGTCAATGTTGTTTGCCTCTTTAGCACGCACATACACCTGTAGACTATGTAATGTTTCCTTCAGTGGCTTTGGCAAAGATTGCAGTTACGGTTAACGACAAAAGCCACAAATCGCCACAAATCTAACGAACACGACTGAGCTTTGTGTATACTTACCATTGGTGAGCTGTTTTCCCTTAGCTTATAATACATGAAGATATTTCCTGCACCTCTATATTTCAATCTGTACTGATTCACCCATTCGTTTCGTCCATTCCCTCCTTGGGTCGCTACACGTGTTACAGTTGTGTAACCACCAAGTTCTATCTGAAGCCACTGATAAAAGTCATCTTTAAGAGCCGACCACCCGCCCCCCGTCCTGGAATCAGCTCTCAGATGAAGCCTGGCTTGCAAAGCGGTGTGTTTCTTGTCAAGTGACGATGAGGCGGTTATCCTGGAATCATGGATCGCGCCATTTTCCATACCAAGAGGTGTCGTACAGCCTAGATTTGTTTTAGAGGCCGAAACATCAAAAAAGCTTAATACCTTCGCTAATTAGGCATGGCTTTAGTCCGTTTCTGTAGAAAACCCAAATAAGCCAGGGGCACCCAACGGAAATTTTCGGGAAAATATCTGTTCGGAAGACGATTTGAGATCTAGAATTTTCGGAGCATTTGTTGTAAAATTTCTTGCTTGCCTGCCTCTCCTAGGATTTTCGAACATCGACAAAATGGTATAATTACCCATTTTTAACGGATTTTGACCGTAAAAAAGGCCACCTAGAATTTTCGGGAGCCTTTTCCTGGCTGAAGTTTTCGAGAAGGTAAGTTTTTATCCCTATAATTTCCGGATCACTAGACTTTCAGCTAGGAAATCTGAACAGATGAAAAGTTTTTAGGGGATAAAAATATGCCTATATCTACCGTTTGAATACTAAACTACGTTCAACAATGCTATGTTAAGTGGTTTTGAACTATATCCTCGTTGGGTGCCCCTGATAAGCAAGATCCAGCCGCTCTCTCAAACTCCCGGACTACTCAACAAACTTTTATATGCGGAGGCTCCCCAAGCAATGTGTTTGTTATCACGTGATAACGAGGCGGCTATCCATGAATAAGATCGTTCTATTTTCCATATCAAGCGGTGTCGTACAACCCAGATTAACGTAGACAAGTCAACCCTTTCAAACTGCAGAGTGAATTATAGCTTATGACTTTCTAATCGTCAAGGAACTGGGACGTTGCAGGTTTTCCTTGAGGCAAGTAAGCAGGGCCGTAGCAAGTTTTTTTGCCACGAGGAGGGGGTGGGGGTGGCATTATCGCAACTCACGAGCCTTGTAGGGGGGGTCTGTATCCTCCCTCGTGAAAATTGAAAACAAATACAAGTTACTACAATCAAAATAAATGAGTCTAAAGGGAACAAATCCATCCACAGACTTGATTTGTCCGGCTCAACAGTTCCGGGGGGCAGCTGCCCCCCTCCCCCCCCCCCGCGGCTCTGGTAAGCAAATAGTGGACCGGTAGTGATGTAAGATCAACGCCCAAGGAAAGAGACACACTCCAACAACACGCGCACAGCCATGTCTCCTGGTGGCAGCCACAGACAGCTGTTTCGTTCAGTCAGAACGCATCAGTACAGCTTTCATGTAGGGACGGCCCTATTCACAAGAACCCGGATATTTTTTGAACCAATTTTTTTTTACACGAATCGGCCTTCCTTCCACACGAAATTAGCAAATCCGCTAACCCGAAACGACATCTGAAACCCCTCCACAAAGTACTTTTGTCTTGGATTCGACGGATTTGCAAATTCGTGTAGCCGATGAAAACCGGATCGAATTACCGATCGAATTACCTAGGTATGCGGTTTCAGCCATCCTCTAATCGTGTGGACAATGCCTGAAGCTTGAATCACTAAAAAGCCGTAGATCTTCATCTTCATGGAAATGCGGTAGCGTAACTTAAGCGGTTAGGTTTGAATGGAGCGTGTTGCAATCAGCATCGGATTCATTGTAAGGAGCAACTATTGTAGGTAGTGTTACTGTGCAAGTAAGCGAGAAATGTAAGTTTGAATACCTGGACAACCGTAGATCTCCATCCTCATGGATATGTGTCGACGCCACTCCATCGGTTTAATTCGAATGAAGCGCGTAGTAATTGGTGGATTCAAGATGTTGTAAGCAATGGTGTTCCGGTCTTTATTTGCGAGGAAAACCTGCAGTGATTCAGTGAAAACAAGTTTAGGCACGTAGTTGTCCTATAAAGTCCAAGCAGAATATGCTTAATGTAAGAAAAGTTGTCAAAAAGAATTTTGTTGGTGGTTAGAAAGGTCATACAGTCAACTCTTTCTAAGACGGACACCTTTGGGACCGGTACTAAGTGTCCATCTTAGAGAGATGTCCGTCTTATAAAGAGTCAAATAAAAGGAGTAAAGAAAGGCAGGGACCAACTCTAGGTGTCCGTTTTACAGAGGTGTCCGTCTTATAGAGGTGTCCGTTAAGAGAGAGTCGACTGTACTGTCTTTCCACTTTGGAACAGAAATTTATCACTATAAAGAAATATATAGATTTAGCCAAGGCCAAAAGCGAAGCTCTCGTGGCAACTTTTAAGAGAAAGTGTTTCTGAAGTAAAGTTTTCTGAGCCTGATATCACTTGAATACTATAACTGGTAGGCGGAAAACTTAAAAAGAAAACTTTAACTCAACGAGTTGTGCATTTGAGTCAGCGATACAGTCATGTCACACTAGTCAGCGGACACCTTCTTTTAATAGCTGTCGATTGACCACAACATGGATGCCCAGTATCAAGTAAAACACAATTTGTATATACCTTGGATTTTTAAGCTAGTAAGTAAGACATTCCACATCCGCTAACATGATGGGCCGGACGTACATACCTACAAACTGACGTACGGACGTACGTACAGATAATTTTGTCAGAACCGAAATTTCTTGGATACATAGATGACTAAATTTTCTTACCCATGGTGCGCCAAAGCGTGCGACAGCTCCGCTATAAGTGGGATAAGATACAGTCAAGCCAGTTGTAAGGTGCCACCCTCTACGAGGAGACCTAAGTGGTCGCTTAATAGAGTTTTTACTGACAATTTTGTCCTCAGAGAGCGACTGCGTAGTACTTGCGCGCAATAGCAGTGTTTCCAAAAAGTTGAATAATCACATCTTCTCAGAAAATGAGGCACTTTTATAAGTAAAAATAGTGGGTACTTAGGTCTACTCAAGTAAAAGGTGACCACGGAACCGACGATGCACTTATGTTCTGCTTACGGAGAATGTAAATCCGCATTTTCGCCAGCATTAACCGTTACTTCTTCAAACTGCTTTCGAAGGAGGTAACAGCTATAAGAGCGACATCTGACGTTTTTGAGCGACGCAC